GCCAGCGCGGGGCAGGGGACACGGCGCCAAGACGAGAGCCGGGCACGTGCAGGGGGCACATGTGAGGGGAACGACACGGAGCGTCTGTCCCCTCTGCACAGCCCCATCCCCGCCTGGCAACACACAGGCCTGCTCCATTCTACAAGGCGGCTGCAGGAGGGACTTCTACTCACGGCCGTCTCCTCTCCTCATCCACATCTTATCCCTTATCTTGTGGCCCAAGGTACAACTCTCATTCCGGAGCATCTTCCTCTACGATTCCCAAAGCACCCTCTGCGCAGCGCAACGTGGCAGCTTCACTTCATGACAGCACAGAGCCCAGCAGGGAAGCCGGGTGCAGCCACAGGGAGACACCGTGCGCCAACACCCGGACTCCACAACACCCGAGGTGACCACCAGCCACCAGGACCCGAGGGCTGCAGCGCGCCCGAAACCCACGGGGCTCGGCCAGCTTGGAGCCCAACCACCTCCATGTTGAACTGAGCAGCCTCCCTCCTGACAAATGATGCGTTTGTAAAAACCAAACCAAAAACCCCAGCTCTTAAAGCTTCACCCAACAGCTGAGTCAAAGCCACTCGTTTTAGACGCCTGCACTGGATCCCCAAACCCAACCCTGCATCTAATCTACAGAAACACAAGGCCAACGTGGGCACAGCCAAACTGAGCACCACGGGGACGAGGCTGCAGGGCTGCAGGCTGTCGGTTCACCCACCTGCGCGTGCTTTGCTCGCAGCTTGTTGAGGATGTTGGTGGCGTCGAAGCCGGCGTTGTCACACAGCTGGCGGGGAATGATCTCCAGGGCTTTCGCGTAGGCCCCGATGAGCAGCTGCTGCTTGCCTGGAATGGTCCTGGAATAGTCCCGGAGGTACTTGGAAAGCTCCATCTCTATGGCACCGCCACCAGCCACAACTGAGTCGTTCTGAAAGGCAGAGGGAAAAGGGGCCGTGAGCTCTGCTTGTGCTGCTGGAGGGGAAGAGCACAAGACACCCTTTCTTGGAGCTTTTACAGATCAGGGTGACACAGACACGCGGGGCCCTCGCGAGCGCTGCCTGCACGAGCAGGGCAAGAGCCTCCGGCAGCCTCTTTGCTCCCCAAGGCTGTGTGCAGAAGAGGGCAGAAAGGGGTGCACTGGGAGCACTGTGTCAGTGCAGGGAGAGCAGAGCTGGATACAACCCCCTCGTTTCCTTAAAACACACCAAACCAAAGATATCTGCAACAGCACTTAGCAGCCACGTTCTGTTAGCAGCTATTTTTAATGCCTTATTTGCTTCAGTAGAGAGAGGCAGGATGTTCTTACTAAACGCAAAACAGCTCCAAAATGGGAGAAAAAAAAGACACTCCTTCCCAGCCCCTCTGGGCACTCAGCCCCAAGGCGCCTTTTGCCATGAGCTGCCACATTAACATGTAATTAGGCCTACCCCAGAAATGTCCAGAGCAGCCCCCGCCCCGAATCAGTAACTCCACAAATATTACACAGTCACATGTAGAATATTTGGTTAGAGCTCTCTGTGCTCCCCGTCTCGCCTCAGAAACGCCCCTCGTGGTCTGTACCTTGATGGCTCTCCTGACTATCATGATGGCATCATGCAGGGAGCGCTCCGTCTCCTCCATGAACTGCTCCGCGCCCCCTCGCAGGATTATTGTGCAGGTCTTGGCCTTGGGGCAGCCCGTGAAGAAGTTGTACCTGCCCATGGCACAGGAGAAGAAGGGTCAGGCCAACCGAGAGGCCGTGTCACTTCCGAACCGATTTTACAGCAACAAGAAACACGGTGGGAACAGAAATTCTCAAAACAGATGCACAAATGCAGCTGCTTCACCCTGCACAGTGACTATCAGATTTAGGTTGAGAAGGAGTCAACCAGGCAATGTACAAGTGAACTACAAGCTGATCTGGAGAAATCAATTTCTTTCTGCTGAGAAGGCTTTACACCAAACCAGGGCTCTCATTTTCACTTAGCAGGAACACAGCAGATGTTGGGGGATGGTTCCAAAGAGGATTTCTCTTCCAGCAATATAGAAGGGCCCATTTTACAGCACCTGGCTTCATTTGCACCAATAATAGAGTTTCACCATGGGATATTACACAAAATACCACAGTCAACTCCAAAGGGTGATGTTTTTAAGTTGTGAATGAAATGTATTCTGTGAGTCAGTGGGGAATTACAAGTATTAAAAAGAGCAGGAGAAAAGATTTGAATGAAGCTTGTTTCTGCTTGCAGCCCGAGAGCGCTCCCACGGGAGCGAAGCCTCCCAGCTCCCGGGGATTTACCTGTCTCCTCCAATCTGGGTCTCCTCGAACACTTCGCATCGGCCCAGCACGTCGTCCGACAGCGCGTTGACACTGGTCTGGATGGAGCCGCCACAGGCCTGCACGAAGGGAGATAAAACCAGAGTGTCACCCGCAGTGACAGACAAGACAGGTTTGCGCAGCGGGGTCCCATTCTGCAGAGACAGCTCTGGAAAAACACAGGGCAGGTGGGATTCAGGAGAGGGGGAAAAAACCCAAAACAACACAGGACACTTGTACTTTCTTCCCATCTCAGACATCCAGGCAGGCAACATCAGAAATAATCCTCAAGAGCAAAATAAGATCAGGGCTCTTCTAAGTGCTGACTCACAGCTCCAGGGTCCAGAAGCTACATAGAGACTTAGGAAAAAACCACCCAGGACAGAACGGGCAACTAGACTGAACCTGGGGAAATAAATCAGCTGAATGGACAGTCTTCCAATAGATTACAATATTAAAGGGCCATAAACGCACCACAGATGCAATTAGATTTTGATTCCTTATTCCATCAAGGAATAGCTTTGTCAGTGGATGGCAATTGAATCACACAGTGACAGTCACAGAGTCACAGAATGGCTGAGGCTGGCAGGAACCTCTAAAGATCATGCAGTCCAACCCCCTGCTCCAGCAGGGACACCCAGTGCATGGGGCACTTGGTCACATCCAGGCATGTTTGGAAGATCTCCAGAGAAGGAGACTCCACAGCCTCTCTGGGCAGCCTGTTCCAGGGCTCTGTCACCCTCACAGGAAAGAATAACTGCATTTAAAAAAAAAAGTGATGTAAAATTGTAAACATTCATATTTTTATGATGTGAAATTTCATAAAAATTCATGTTTATTTCATGAAATAAGAGATTTTATGTAAGTAACTGTGGATTCACTGACTGTTGTCCTGTTTTGGGAATGATATGACCAGGCACCACCAGAGATGAATTTAAAAAAGATATATTTTTTTTGAAAGCCAAAGCAGCTCACCATCATAGTTCTCTTGAGATCTTCTTCGGGGACACGGCCAGCACAAAACATGTCTCTATCTGCAAAGTACTGCGTAGCCACATCCCCGATCGGAAGCTTGGACAGGACAACTTTGGCTCCCGACTTGTGGATTTTGTCCAGTTTGTCGTACAGGATGTTCCACTCGGCATCCACGATGGCCTGGTAATCCTGGCAGAGACAGGAGAAACGTGTAACGCGCCGGGTGACGCAGGGCTGCCAACGCTGCCGCGTTTACAGAAACTGCACGAATGCTGGGGAGGAGGAATTAACCCATTACTGAGAGCAGAGCAGAGCACCCGCGGATCTTTAGGCACTGCACCCACTGCAGGAACCAAACACAGGCTGTGCTGGGACACGGGAATTTCAGCTTCTCTCCTCTGGGGCTACCTATATGTTTTGGGTGACTTCTCAAGAGGGCAGCAGTGAGTGACTTCAGGAAGGCATTTTACCAAGGTGACAGGAGAACTAGTGTTTGAACAGCTACTTTATTCGCTTAACAAGCACAGGACTGACTTCTCAGCATCTTAAGTGCTGCTTAGCAAGATCTCCCTGGGAGGCCATTTACTGAGCATGAAGAAGTCACCACGTGACTGGCAGCACTGCTCACAGTTTATACCAGCAGCTCTCAAGCACCATCACATCTTGTGGGCACAAGGATGTGGGACAGGCAGGGGTATCAGGTCTCCACTGAGGACTGACATGCAAGCCAGGCAAGCAGGAATCCAGCCACAGGCAGGTACTGCACCCTCAGGCACCTACCCAGCTCGCTCAGCTGCCCCAAGAGAAACCCGAGGCAGGAGGAGTTACTGCTGGGCACCCTGCTGTCCGCCCAACATGGGACACGTTTCCCCCAGTGCATGTTCCACAGGCCGTGGACAAGCAGCACATCAGACAAGTGCACGTTTCAGCTGTGAGCTCCCACCTCCACTGTGTTCACTCTGACTTCAGCGTTGTCCTTCTCGGCTTTGAGCTCCAGCTCCACATTCAGCAGGGCGATCTTGGGACACTGGTATTTCTTGGGCTGCATTTCAAAGCCAGCGTAAGAGAACGTCTTCTTGAAGGCCACCCCGGCCACCAGTTGGGAATCCTTGGAAACAGGGATTTGTGTTAAGCTGGGGCACCCCAGGTTTCTGCAGCAGGGTTAATAACCCTCACAGGAGACTCCCTGGTTCAGAGCCCTCATTTACAAACACTGTGCTATTTACTCACCAATGGCCGTCTCCTTTGATTAGCCCATTTTTGAAGAAAATAAGCAGTGAATATTCTCTTTGCTCACAAAACCAGCCTCTATCATTTCCTTTCTGCCCCTCAAGACACTGCAGTGAAAGATGCTCTACACAAGATCAAGGGATGAAACAGCCTGCTCTCTCTGATGTCTTTCCATTTTCTACCTTTGAAGACAGATACTTCTTCTAATCCACAGCCCAAACTTTTTCTTTGTTTTCCTTTGTTTTCACCCTGGTTTGTTTTACAGGCTCCACTGCCATCCTTTGAAGCCTTTTGCAACAGAACCACTGTGCTCAGCACTGCCCTCTGATGAGACCTTCCCGACTTCGCAGCCAGGAGAGAAACTGCATCCCAATTTCCTACCCCTCGGGTATCTAATCACCCACTGCAGGCTCAGCTCTGCCAAGGCAGCTAAACCCAGAGGAGAACCTGCAATTTTACCCTCATTAGCCAGGAAGGACACAGACTTTCTCTTCTCTAGCTTACAGACTGAGATGACCCTGGATCTATCAAAAGTCACCCTGAAAGGCAGCGTGCTAAATTATTTACCCCATCCTGATAATACTCTCCAAGGAGTCCTTATAAATAAACCCTCTGCATTCAGCCTCCAGCAGCTAAAAAGACAAAACCACAAGAGAGAAGCTCTCATCCGGGAGGTGAGACACCTCCCTTAACAAGGGACCATTTTCCACATGCCTTAAAATACCAATAGGCCCAGACTCCTCACACACACACATACACACTCAAAAAAAAAAAACAAAAAAAAACAACCCACACAGATGCTGAAACAATCCTAATTCACTCAGTCAGTTGTCTGGGCAAGATAATGGCATAATTACCATGTCTCTTCTCATGAAAAATGCTCGTCTGAAGTGTTTACAGAGAGCAACAGACATAGAATTAACATTCTGATATTCCACAGCAATTTTGCTTTTCTGGCAGAAGCATGCCCAGCTATCAGTCAAACCTGAGACCTGAGTCAAACCAGAGATTCTTCTGCCAATAGAGGAGCAAACCCACCTCGCTTTTTCCTCTTGTCAACAGCTTTGTTCTGCCTTGATAATTTCCCAACAAACATTACCAAGTTGGGCTGTATTTCCATTAGGATCAACCCACCAAAGGAGCTGTAATCGTTTCTCCTATCCCTTCAAAACAGGCTCTGATGAGACTTACTTCCAGAGCGCCTCCTTGCACCTTCTTTATTCCAATCATTTTGAGTTGTAACAAGTCATCTAACATCATAACAGCATCTACAACCATCTTGGAAAAAAACTCCTTGCTCTGGGATATCAGCTTGGAGCTCAGGGCCGTGGCTGCACACTTCTCCAGCAGGCTCCTCTGCTCACTGCAAAAAGGGAGGAAAGCAAAAAAACAGCGGTTTGTTCACAGATCAATTATTCTTGTTAACATAAACAAAAAACACTGTGCACGGTATGAGTGACCCACTCTGAGGGGGACAAAGATCACCTTGAATCCCTCTAAAGATGACATATTCTCTGGAGGATTAACTTAGGTAACACATGTCAGGACAAAGTGGCTGAGAATGAAAACCAGGACAGCTGGGAAGCCTGGATCCCCTCTCAGGCTCCACCACCCTGGTTACTGTTACCATGAGAACTACTGTATTTTGCTCTGCAAGTTAGCACAAATCCTTTTGGCTTATTTGGGACGTATGTGGGAATTTGGGACTTATTTGGGAATCCACTTGATTTTTTACTGTAGATATTAGTCAGGCCAGACAAAGAAGATAAGAGCTTGGAATGCAGGCAGAAAACCTCTGATGTTCTCATCTCATCCCAACGGACATGTTTGTTGTTGCTATCAGCTGAGTTCATGTACTCAACAACTACAGTGTGATCTGGCTTCCTGATCTGATTTGCACAGGGGTGCTTAACACTGCCACAGATCGCAACAGAAGGTGCAACTTCCACCACCCCTGGAAATAAAAGATATCAAGCCATTTATTCGGGGACCTCATCTCTTCCATGTGCGCTGGCAAACACTGGTCTACACATTTCACTGCAGGGGCAGGCAAAGTGAAAATGCAGCACCCTCCTGCCCAAGAGCAGCAACAAATTCCAAAAGTCAAAAAAAAAAAAAAACCCTGGGGGCTTGCCACAGCTGCTCACCTGACCTGAAGTGCTGAGCGAGAGCCACAACAGAGGTTAGAAATCACTTCACACCAAAGAAATGAAGGCCCTCTACTCACAATCAGACCATCTAGTCACGGATCCATATGGGAAACTTACTCTTTATCTTCCTTCTTCACTGTAACGGCGATGTCTTTGATCTTGTTCACAGCCTGTCAAAACACAACCCAGCTGAATTAACAACTCATGTTTTTAAATTGATCAGATCTCCAGCTTTTCATTTTGCATAAGAAACAAAAAAGGAAAAAAAACCTCAAACACACACCTAAAGAATACACAAGATTTAGAAAACAAGCTCAAAACTGCACTGCTGCTTTCTGCACATCTGGGAGAGCAGATCTACAAACATGCAAGATGATCAGAAGCGGCTCATACAGTCCAAGCATATGGACATGCAACAACAGTCCCCATTAAAGCAAAAATCCCCTGGACTCTAGTGGCTGTTTTCTCACTCCCACAGCACTATGTTAAGATTTTCCTCTTTTATACCATAAAAATACACATTTTAACCATCTTGGATGGGATCTTGAAGTGCGGCCCTTGCGTATTTAACAGCCTCCTCACTTAGGAGGAAGTTTAAGAAAAAGGCTATGAAGAGAGTTAACCTCCAGAAGAGGTTCCAGCTTAATGAGACTGAAGTGTTCCAGGAGATGTAAGGTTTGCCAAGCAGCAAAAAAATCACTAGAATGGGAAACTAATTTAATGAATTTTACCACTTATTAATTCTTCCCTGGAGAGGAAAAAGGAACATAAAAAATTAAATAAAAAGGGAACACAAGATTATTCAGGAAACACACTGGAAATACCAGTTTGCTGACACCAAAGCAGCCAGGTGATGTTTGCAGGAAAACGTCATGAGGTTGTTACTGCCACCCCCTTCTCCCCACCCCACTCCAGAAATGATTTTCCTGGAGGGAACGTTATGTCATGCTGTGCAGGTACAGAGCTGCTCTGCTCACACCTCCTCATCGAGCCCAACAAACCCTCAAACCCAGGGGCAGCAGGGCCCCGTGTGCCCCCCGAGCAGCCTCTCCTCACCAGCTGCGTGGCCGTGCGGAAGGCACGGATGATGATCTGGGGGTGAAGGCCTTCCTCCACGTAGGGCTTCACCTGCTTCAGGAACTCGGCGGCGAGCAGCGTCACGGACGTGGTGCCGTCACCAACCTGCACGGACACGGAACGCGCTGCGTCACCAGCACGACGCCGAGGTGCCAAGATAACAACACGCGGGGAAAGAGATTCCAGGACTTCCCTGCTTGCAGGTGATTAAGAAATGGTGAGGTCCACACCACCTCCCTTCTGTCCATCCCCTTCATTCCTGACACACAAGCTCTGAAGCTCCCCAAACCCCTAATCAAATCTAGCTGAAACAGCTTGAAAGATCTGCATAAAGAAGCAAAATCCCTCAAAAAATAACAAAATAAAATAAAAAAGAGGCTAAATGCAGGCACAAGGCTGCTGCAGCAGCCAGGGGACCCTCCTACCTCTGCATCTTGAGACTTGGCAATGTCCACTAGCGTCTTGGCAGCCGGATGGACAACGTCGAGGAGCTTCAGGATAGTGGCACCATCATTAGATATAGTGGCTTTGCCTGCAATTGATTTGGAAAAGAGAGTCAAGCTCGACCGTGCTGAATGAAGCCATAACCTGCTGGAAAAGGGCAGGCCCAGCAGGCGAGGAAGCTTTCCAGGCTCCAGAGACATTTTAGCACCACAAGAGACACTTCAAACCACTCAGCCTGACTCTGCTTCACAGAGTAAGCACAGCCCCACGATTTACCAGCTCTCAGATTCTTCCCCTGATCCAGCAACCCCACATGAGCTTTGTCATGTCCAAGTACCACAGGCTCACGTCCCAAACCGTCACTTGGAAATCTTATTTTCTTTAGCCAAACTGCTGTTTTTCCCTATGTGATCCGTAATGTGATCACTGCGATATTTTAAACACGTTCCTGCATCCAGAAAGATACAAAAATATCCAATCAGCTAAGTAAGGGGCCTTCTCCATGCACAGGAGGAGCCCAGAACAGCTGTTTCCCAGGAGGACTCCAAGAAGGAACTGCCACTGAGTATTAACAGTGTCTTTTTTACTCTGAGGAAAAAATTGAGGTGGAAGTGCAAAACTATTCATACCAGCTAACAGGGGCTTTACATTCACCACCTCTTCTTATTTCTCAATAGCATCTCCACACTGATTAAAAATAATAATGATCAGGTATTCCACTCTGACACTTGACAGGAAAAAAAAATCAAAAAGAATCACTGGAAAGCAACAGAATCAGTTACTAAACTAAAAAGTCAGTGATCCTTTCTAAAATAAATGTTTTTACAGATAAAACCTGCACTATAAGGACAATTCTAGCACACATTAACAAAATGCAAGGCAGAGATTTGTTATGATTTAATACCAATATCATGACTTCATACAATCCTTTCCAGAGGAGGCATCTCCAGTTCATACAAAAATACCAGCCAAGAGCTGAGTAACTTTACACATTATGAGTCTCATCTAGAGCAACCATCTAGAAGAAGATGGTTGGGAATATGCAAGGACCAAGTTCAAAACACACCATTTCTCCTCTCTGCCACTTTCTAACACTCTAACCCTGCCCCTAGTGTAGAATTCAGCTACCTTTACCCAGCCTGGTAAATAACTGATGGGTAGCCCAGGTTTCAAACTGAATGTTGAAACAGAAGCTGAACCTCTGCATCACAGGAGCTGAGATTCTCCGTGTTGAAGGAAGCTGAAGTTTGTGTATAGGCAAACGCTCATTCAATTAGCACAAAGCTATAATTCAAATTACAGCACAAAATTCCCACTAGCAGCAGGAGGATGAGGCATTCCACACGCCTTAGCCTCTAGCTGTACAAAAACCCACGCTGGCGAGTGTGTTTTCCCCATAAATGTTATTTCTGAGTCATCTTTCACGCAGCGCTCACCTCTGTCGTCCACGATGAGCTTGTCCATGCCGCGGGGCCCCAGCGTGGTGCGCACGGCCTCGGCGATCACCTGGCACGCGTTGATGTTGCTCACGAGCTGGGGAATGCCCTGCGAGGTGTCCGTGCCCTCCTTGAGCAGGATAACTGGTGTGGGCTGCCGAGAGAAGCCACCGCAGAGCTGTCACTCTCATCCTAACCACCCAGACAGCCTGCACAGTGACAAGGTTAGGCAAAAGCCTATTCTTTCCCCAGTACAAGGAGTTAAGAGATGTGATGGATCTTTCACTTCCATGACCAAAAACTACAGTATCTTTAAAGGCTCGTTGACCAAAATAAAACACGCAAAAATCCTTATCCCTAAGCACCCTGCTTTGCTTATTGACCTAACCCCACCTTCCAAGTGAGGCTGTGACCACAGGAAGCCCTGAAAGAGAAAGCCACAGGCTGCCCCCGCTACACAAAAGTAACTGCTCGTTTGAACACTGCAAAGGTTTATTCCCACAAGCTTTCCCCGTTTAAGCTTCATCTTCAAGGCACGCCTATGGCTTCAGGGAAGGGATTTGTGCAAGTGTTTCTTGGTTAAAGGGTGACGGTTCAGAGAAAGAAGAGAGAGCAGGAAACCCTGCGCATTTTTGCTTTTAAGCAACCGCTTGCAGGCAGAGAGAGAAGCTGTAACGACAAAGAGTGACCGGAGCAGAGGCTCCAGGGTCGATGGGGGGGATGGGGCTTGGGAAAACCTCGAGTGAGCAGCATGTACTGCCAGAGCTGCGAGCTAAAGGGAAAACCGCACCCCGGAGGATAAGCAGGTTAGACAGAGTGACAGGACCCAGCACTGGGACCGGGGCTCGGCGCGGCCCCCAGGCCCAGGCCGCCTCCCTTCCCAGCGCCCTGCGGACTACAACTCCCGGCGTGCCCCGCACGCCCGCTGCCCTGCAGCCGCGGCGCCCGCCACGCAAGGCCTGACCGGAGC